TAGTATATTTCTGGAATCATTGTTACAATCGAGTCGTCTTTGTAACCTAGTCACGAAAGAGAGAGAATCTCACTTCTAAATTCCTATAAATATACTATGACGACCCATCCCGATCTATTGTATATATTTTATCCCCGTGTATGTAAGTGATGTTTATGCCCTCGTTGGCTTGGTGACATGAATGTATGTGTATAGTTTAAATTATTTTCTCGCTGACGTGACTAAATTGTACTCGACGTCACAAGCATGTTGACACGCGTTAGGGTCGAATCGGGTTCATAACGAAAATGTTACGAAGGAAGAAGTGAAATTGGGTTGGTTTTATTTCCAGTGGACTCATTTTCTTGAGCCCTAAACATTGTAGCCTAATTAGGGCTTAAGATCCTTTTATCTAGGCCTAACCGTGACCACACGCACACACCCACACACACTTACGTACCTTCACCCTACCCTTTTCCTCTTGATCATTCCTTCGTCCGTACGACCGAACCCTTTAGCTTTCAAACACCATCACACACACAGAGATCAAACTTAAGGATAACGTTTTCGTACTCCCCTTGACTTCACAAGTCTAGCTGTACCATTAGTTTGAAGGGAAGACGTGTCGAACTCGAGAAACCCAAGCTCCGGCAAGGGATCCAGTTTCCTCCGACGTGATTGCGAATGATTCACATGGTTTTGAGACTTAAAAAGGTGTTCATCTACCTTCCCTAGCAACTTGGAAGAAGTTTTGAGTGGATTGGACGTCAGAACACACGGGTTTAGGAAGTTCTAGTTTAGCTGGAATTATTTTGAGGTTTGAAAATTTTCCAAAAACCGACAACATAGCGGTGATCGGCGTCGGAATCCGGTGAACCACTGGAGAAGGAAAGAGGATATTCCGTCAACTTTGACGAAATATACTGACAGTATCAGGTAACTTTAACGGAATATTCTAATATTTAATGGAATATTTCCTAACGCCGCTACATACCAGTGAGTGGGCTTTTGGTTTATATATATATATATATGTATATATATATATATATATATATGCATTTCCCATAAATTGTTTTTAAACGAAATTTCGTTTAAAATGCCATGTCATGTTTGCTTTACATTTTAGCATATGCATTAGTATAGCTTTACATAATATTGCATGATGCTGCAGAGGCTCAGGTAAGTTCAGATGAGTATATATTGACGATATGGTTGCATGGTAGTTGATTATGAGTTGTGCACGTAGAGCTCATTGTCCTGCACCCCGGTGTTAGTGCTCCACCTGTGGCCAGGGCCTAGACTTCACATGATCGTTTACCTCCTGCACCATATGCTCACCTTGGATCCAAGGCAGGTGCCAACCTGTTGTACAAACCACATTAGGTGGTTTCGACTCATAGGTTACTTGCAATACTTCGCACAGCCTTCACGTGATCTTAGCACTTGAGCGTATCTATTTACACCCAGCCTGTAGTATAGACCACATTTAGTGCCATACAGGTCACATTAGGTGACTCCGGCTGGATTGATGAGCAATAGGTTCAGCCGTACAAGTCACATTAGGTGACTCCGGCTGGCATATCACTTTTACATTGATTTATATCACCTGACTTACATATTTACTTCTAAGATAGTGACATGGCATATACTTGGTTTCCATTGCTGTCGTGAATGATTTCTATATACGTATGTAGTATTATTTTCTAGGAAATTATACAGGTTTTACAATGAGGGGTTATTACCTTTCTAAAGACAAAGATGTTTTCAAAAACTTTGTTTTTGTCCACTCACACTTTCTGTTCTGCGTCTCTCCAGGTTCTAAGTAGAAGTTCGTGTTGGTGGCTTAGGAGGATTCTACGGCGGTTCTGACATACTTCAAATAATGTAGGGATTTCTTTCATGTCTTGTATAATTAATACTTAGCCTGCTGGACTGCACTTAGGTTACCTACACTCTGAGCACTTGCATTACTATTTTAAACACCTTCACTCGTACTTATATACTTACCCAGTGTAAAGTAGCTAGTTTGATTTTTAGTTACCCACATATTCATATCACTATCACTTTTGCACTGCGCACATGGTTACATTACCCTCATATGATGACTAACATGCCTCGATTTAGGTCAGGGTGCGTCATATACTTTCAAAAGTTTATGAGCTTTCTGCGTCTAAATATCGTCTTCTTTGTAACCGATTCAATTTCATAATCGTCATCATTGCCATTTTACTGATTAGAAAGGATGCATTTCATTGTAAAGTGAAGAAAATTACATCAATTTTGTTTAAATAGTTCAAAAATACCAAGTAGTTCAAAAAATAAGCGGCGACAATTGACAACTTAAATAGTAGACGACAAACGAATGAAATGTATTATAGTGGACCAAGTGACCTAGAGATCTTCAAGCCATGTGAATTCTCAAAAGTTCCCGCGCAAAGTGAGCAGCCTCCGATCGGCTAGTTGTAGGTGTCAGTCTGACATGATTTCATGCGGCGCACATGCTTCAATGGGAGCCAAACATGCTAACCTGTTGCTATCTGCATGTCGTTTCCCCATCGAACGACACTGGACCTTGGTCCTCTCCTCAGTATAATTACTTTTACATAGTAATAGTAATGTTAGTGAAATTAAATTTGTTAAATTAAATAATATGTAAGTTGGTAATTGAATTATCTTGATAAACGTGCTCATATATATTAGTGACATGATCATGTAATTTGTAAATTTTGTTTATAAATTTAGTTTTCCTAAAATTACCTTTACAACAAAAAGAACTTTTTCATCGATAATCCTTCTTCCCTACTTACTTACACTTAACAACAACTCCCTTTTAGGCTTTTTGTTCACGTCCTTTTCAACACCAACCACCATCTTGACAGCTCCCTAATTCTTTTAGTTTGGAAAGCAATTTGTGCTTTCTCAAAGCAGAAAAAACTTGCTTGAAATAAACACGACTTCACATGAATTTTAAAATACTAATTCGCTCCTTATCTATAAAACATATTGTTCATACTTATCTGCTTGTATGCACATTATGATATCATAATGTTCTATAGGGCTTGTTTTGTGGACCGGATGGGATTTGACTTAATATTTAGAATAGGTTAGAATTGAATTGGAGTGGATAAGATGAGACTTTTGTCAAGTGTTTGGTGCATGTAAGTAATTTGGACTGGTTATGGATTAATTTACTTATAAAATTAAAAAAAAATTACAACATCAACCTCTCTCTCTCTCTCCCTCTCCCTCCCGATTTCTGTCTCTTCTCTCTATCCATCTCTCTTGACGACAACCCACACCCACCCGCCTGTAGCTCGCACCCACGACGCCACGACGCTCGAAATCCACCCCACCATATCGGGGCTACTCGCGACGAGACATGTGATGAGAGAGAAATCGGGAAAGAGATAGATGAAGATTACGGAATGAAGTGATAACATAGAGAGGTGAGGAAGAACACGACACGCACATCAGGCAGAGGGGATTGATAACCATGTGTGAGGTTGGTTACATAACCCACCTGATTTTGGATCTCTTCTAATCCCATCTAATCTCATCCTAGTTACATTTGACACTATCAAACATTGGACTTGGTCTCTAACCTATCATATCCGGTCCACCACACGAGCCTTATGTGTGTGACACGGTAATTTAACAAAGACAAAATAATTAGTTGTGTGTATGAAAGGGTGATTTGAGTTTGCCAAATTAACATAAGTGCAAAGTTTTACTCCCTTCACTTTTAGCTGCTTTTGAACATGTTCTGGTGGAAAGGATGTAAAATCCCCAATGATTAAAAATGATTCTGCTCCCCGAACCAACAAACCCCAAATTCTCACCCTAAAAATTTTGCTTTCAAGCTTTCCCTCAACATTTTTAACGATTTAATTTTTAATGCAATTTGACCAATACAATTAGTGGTGGAGTCAAAATTTTCAAACTTTGGGGGTCATGATATCGACCAAAATAGCTTCATTGGATCATTTAATCAAACACCTCATAGGCACCTGTCAATTTTTGCCAACATATGCCGAAAACTTTTGCCAACATATGTTTATAACTACAATTATTTGTAGAGGCTTGTCGAGGATGATTGCAAGATACTATGAAATAATGTTGAAGATTATCAAGATTTGTTAACTAAGACATTTTATTGAACACATGGTGCGCACGATAGAGTGCACACAAGAAGAGAGAAAAGGAAGACAAAGATTATAAAAGAAAATAGAATAAGTAGGAGTAGTTTGTAATCTAGTTTGTCCTAATGGTTTATAAAGGTCAAATACAATAGACAGACAAATATACATAGAACTTTTTGAAGTTATTGAAGTTAAGGACAACCAAAGAACCCATATACAATGCAATGCACCTTCAACAAGGTCAAAACTCGTGGCTCTTCAAAGTGAAGGAAAAGAAAATCATAGATTTTTTTATTCACAATCGCAATGGAAAACAATAACATTTTGTGTGAAATCTAGACTCCTTGGTCCTGAATTGAATTTTGAGAGAGTTTGCTTAGCATTTCTCAATTTGGTTTCACTAAAATACACACAAATAGAATGTTGTTTGTGTAAAGAGTAATGCATATTAAGGTATATAAGTTCTTTAATATTAACTTTAATATAGGAGGCATTTAACATATTTTGAGGTGCTAATAAGAAAGGTTTAGCAAAAGTTTAGAACCAGGAGTTGTAAAACGATAAAATCTATTTTAAAAAAAAATGGAATTAGTAAAAAAAAATGGTAACACAAGAGGAATTAAATTTATTAACTAAATAATGTGTCATTAATATAAATGAACACGTTTGTTAATGAATGATCAAATTATAACCTTTCATATCATTTAGTTTTATTCACAGAAAAATAAAAATAATTTTTGTTGCCAAGAAAGAAAAAAAAGGAAAAATAGTAAATACCCGCTTTGTTTCCAGTGTGGCGGGTTCCACCTTTCCCTCCTCCGTTGTCTAAAATTTATTTTCCTTTCAGAGACCGTCTCTCTCTTCTCTCCCGTCTCTCTCATCAAAAATCTGAATTCCAGAATAAAGAAAACGCCAAACTTCCAAAACAAAACGAGAAGCAGCAGCACCCACCTCCCCCCTCACCCCTCTGTTCTTCGCACACCTCCCATCACACGCATTTCCATGCCAATTTTGTTTTTTAACATGTCAATTTGAATTGATAAAATCCATATTTTACAAAAATTAAATTAAAATATCTCCTTGTATCTACGGCCTGCCTGCTCCTTTCTCTCTCTCTAACTCTGAGAGAGGAAAGAGAGAGAGACTTATCTATCTGAGCCTGTCCCCTCCTCGCAAGGACAGTCCTTACACATCCCCACCTGTCTCAACGGTCGGATTTGCTTCCCCCCACCCACTTATTTTCATGCACCATATCTCACTTCCCTCTCTCTCTCTCTCTCTATATAATTTGATCGCATTTAATATATTTCTGTACCTTTAAGTCTGTTTACGTGTGTGGATGCATGTGTTTGCTCAGTCAGTAGGTGCTCACTTTCTAGTTTCTGCTCTTGGGCTTCCATTTAAATCTCGAATTTTGATCTGGGTCTGAATCCGATTTTGCTTTCTCTGTCTCTGTGACCCGGTTAGGTCGTATTCGGATCTCCGGTGGTTGTTCGCGATGCTTCGTTTGTACGGGCAGGCATGGACAACGCCATGAGGAGGAACGAGTCCGTTAAGCGCAGGGTTGGTGGCGGTGGCGCTCAGTGGCATTGGCTCGTCATTTTGGGCATTCTCCAGGGGTTTTTTGCCGGATGATATGGGCTGCGGTGGCTCCAAGGTCGACAACTTGCCGCTAGTCATGCTTTGCAGGGAGCGAAAGGACCATATCAAAACGGCGTCGGACCAGCGCTTCGCTCTCGCCGCAGCCCACTTCTCCTATTTCCACTCCCTCCAGCACATCGGCGACGCCCTCTGCAAGTTCGTCGACGAAGACCTCATTGTATCCGGCGCTGGCGAGTCGTCCTCGCCGCCGGGATCTCCGGTTCTCACGTTGCCCTCCGACGAAGGCAAGCCCAGGAAGAGGAAACCCCATACAAACCACTTGTCTACATCGATTCCGCACTCTGTTTCCGCTGATTCGCTGAAAGCGGACGACAATGACGACGCTCACATACATTTGTCGTCTGGGTCCGAGTCAGAATCCGAGTTTGACTCATCGTCAGGTCACATTAACATCGAGGACAGCCCGGAGCAAGAGGTATCCTCTTCTTCTTCCTATCGTTACCCTCCGAATTCACATGTGTATTATATGAGAAGGACGGAGACGCCGATGCAGACGGTGTTTTATGAAGAGCCGGAGAGATATCCGACTCAAAATGGTCCTTATCCGGATTCCTATCCGGGTTATTCAGGTTTTCAGCCGTATGGCGGTGGTGGATTTTTCGGGTACCCGATGGGGTCACCGGCGAATAGTGAGAATCCGTACAATCGACGGACAGCCAAGCCCACCACCACCAGCCGGTCCTCCACCTGCACCGCCTTCGCCTCCAAGGGTCTCGACTTGGGATTTCCTGAATGTGTTTGATACTTTTGATAATAGTGGTTACCCAGGTTACTATCGGAAGGCTAGATACGGTTACGGGTCCACGACGAGCAGTCCGGACTCGAAGGAGGTGAGGGAGAGAGAGGGGATTCCCGATTTGGAGGATGAGACAGAGCAGGAAGTGTTGAAAGAGGTTCACAAGGAGAAGCGGAGGGTGAATGTGGATGGTAATGTGAATAGGAATAGGAATCGAAATTTGGGTGAAGGGACTTCAAGGGCTGTGCCATTGAAGCAGCCAAGCAGTGAGGAGAGTTCAGGGACAGTGCCATTGCATAGCAGTGAGAGTTCCCATTCTGTCCATGGGAAGGAGATAAAGAGCAGTCCAGATACAAATGGATCGAAAAACTCCGAAGAGGAGTATGTGAAGAAAAAGAGGGTGAGTTTTGAGTTTGAGGTTGAGATTGAAGCTGCATCGGCGCATGATGTTGGATCTTCAAAAGGGAGTAGCTTAACTACATTGTCAGTCCACGGTACAAGGGACCTTCAGGAGGTTGTGAAGGAAATCAGGGATGAGTTCGAGACAGCCTCTAGTTATGGGAAAGAAGTTGCCATGCTGCTTGAGGTGGGCAAGTTGCCTTATCAGCGTAGAGCTGCTGCACTTAAAGGTAGGAGTCTAATGCCTAGTTGTCTTGGACTCTTGGTACTTTATCATACATATCCTTATTCAGTAGACTGCTTCCACCATCTTGTTCGACCGCATTTAAGTGATGAAAGTTTTGTTTCTGTTGTTGCGAATCTACCCAAGCTATGCACGCGCTGTCTATGCAGTAGATCCCAGTTCCAGTGTAACTAGGGCTTGCTTTTCTCTGAACTAAAATGCATACTTATCGACCCAAGTAGCCTAAAATACTTAAGTGTTGTGCCGTATAGACTTGCACGAACTATGTCTCGTGATTAGATGAGAGATTAGGATTTTATTGCGAATACTGAATAAAGTTCGCATAATTAAAAAGATGATTTTAGAAAAAAAAAATAAAATTCTACCGTATATTCTTTTTGCTATATAAATCCAATGAGTAATGCTAGGTAAACTAAACTTGCAAACTAATTGATGTGTTACCAATAAGAAATAAACTCATTAATCAACACTTAAAAGTAATAATCCAATCATTAACTTCCATGTCATTTAGCTTGTAGTCTCCCTAGCATTATCCAACTCCAAATGTTAGAAGCTCTGGACCCTGGTTGAGCAATGTGGACATAATATTGCTTTACTTTTTCTTGCATTTCGTTTCTCCTTGTACGCGGTTGTTAAGTATTAGATATGGCTTCATATTTGAACTTGTTCAAGTCTTGATATTGACAAAAGGTAATAGACCCTCCCTTGTTCATGTTTACAAATTACAAACCAGCATGTTATTAATTAATTTTTTTAGAGATAGGTGTGAAATATATGTTTCGGGAGGATTTATCTGCAGGATCCTGTGGTGACTATATAATATGGTGGTCTGACTGATTGAAATTTTATCAGAGATACACTCTCATGCTTGAATTTGGTTTGATAATTACTCTGCTTCGGATTCCTTTATACAATGCAAAGCTTCATCATACTGCATATGACCAAAATGTTAAAGGTCCAAGTTACACCTGAATGTATTGAAAAAAATATAAATCTCACTGTTTCGACTGTAGATTGCATGTGGGATTGATAGGCAAATTCTGCTAGTCTAATATTTTTTTATTGGGATCTCTATGAAGAAGCATTATTGTTGCTGTTTCATTAAAACTTATGCATGTCTATGCAGTTGTCTTCTCGAGGATTCTTTACCTTGTAGCACCTTCCCTGCTTTCTTCACCCCCGTCATCCATGCCCCCAGTAAGATTAAACTCTAAGACCGTTAAAATGGCAAACGCTTACCAGGGAGAACCTGGAAAAGATTTCAACAAGAAGCCTGGAAACCTCTCATCAACTTTGGAGAAACTATATGCATGGGAGAAAAAATTGTACAAGGAAGTCAAGGTAAGAGAATCAAAATCACGGATGTCATGCAACTTATAATTTCTACTATGATGATACTTAAAATCCTTGATAGTCTTAGATAGTCACCAAATCCTTTCATTGCAGCAGGTTGCAAAAACTATTTCATACTCTCTGATTTAACAACTACCATGCACTTGCACTCATTGAAGGACCTAAATTTCTATATTGTACTCAAATTTTACGGTGTTATTTGAGTTTTTTTTTTTTGTTTTCTTTACTAGCTTCAATTTGATGAGTCAATCATCGCTTTTTATGTTCTTCAAGTGGCTTGGAGCTTGCTCCTGTTGACATCTGTCTAATATTTTATTCGTGTTGCACTAATTTTAGGACGAAGAAAAGCTACGGGTTGACTATGAAAAGAAGTGCAAGAAACTGAAAAAACTAGATTATCATGGAGCTGAGTCTGCTAAGATTGATGCCACCCAGGCTTCTGTACGGAAGTTGCTAGCAAAAATTAATGTTTGTATCAGAGCTGTTGATACCATATCGAGGAGGATACATAAGCTGAGGGATGAAGAATTGCTTCCCCAAGTTGCAGAATTGATTCATGGGTAACAAATCTCTTGAAATTCTTTTAGCAAAAGCTTATCACTTTGGGTCACAACAATATTAGCATTGGTTCATTGTTACTTTCGGATGAATTATAGTCTGAATTATGTCCTGCCTTTTTTTTTTCCTTACAATTTATTGCTTTTTATTTGTATTTTTCTATACGTATAGAATCTGTATATATGAGCTTATGAGGTGGTAGTCTTAAGAGATTAATTTCCCAATAGATAACGCAATAAGTTGGTAGTGGTTCGTAATGAACCCCGCACCTGCTCAATGGTGATGATTATCATTTGATTTCCATCAGATCACTTTCCCCCGTGCATGATCCATTGAGACTTTTGGTGACAATTTTGGTAGGGAATAAAATCCGTGACTGTAAAGAGTATAATTCCGGAACTTGAATGTAAGATGCTTACCTTACCCTCTACAGTGCTTATGGGAATCCTAATCCTTTTACATTTCTTTTTCGATTAGCTTTTCCCCCCTCCTGCCAAACATAGGTTACTCACTGGTGATGTATCTGATGCTTGAAGGGACCTGATAATTTATACTTTAATTTTCTGATTTTCTAAAAGGTTATTTCTTAACTTATCGAGTGTCTTCTGTTAATATTAGGATTTGCCTTTTATATGCAGATTGATAAGAATGTGGAAATCCATGCTCAAATGCCACCAGAAACAGTTCCAAGCTATTATGGAGAGCAAAGTTCGATCTCTTAAGGTGAGTGCTGGCCTTCGAAGAGATTCTGATTTGAAAGCTACTCTTGAACTTGAAATGGAGCTTTTGAGCTGGTGCGCATCCTTTAACAATTGGGTTAACACCCAAAAGTCCTATGTGGAGTCCTTAAATGGGTGGCTTTCAAGGTGCATTAACCAGGAACCTGAAGAAACGCCTGATGGAGTTGCCCCTTTCTCCCCAAGCCGGATGGGAGCTCCACCCATTTTTGTAGTTTGTAATGATTGGTGCCACGCTATGGAAAGAATTTCTGAAAAGGGGGTGGCAGATGCGATGCATGATTTTGCTTCAACCTTACACCAGTTATGGGAAAGGCAGGATGAGGAGCAACGTCAAAGGATCAAGGCTGAGTACGTCTCCAAGAATTTGGAGAGCCAGCTTAGAAAATTGCATATGGAGAGGTTGAAAAGAGACCATGACCATGATGCATCAACAGACAAAGCCGCTCTGTCAAAGTCACCTTCCGATAGTGGAGTTTTACCACTGGATGATCTGAAGGTGGATTTGGATTCAATGAAGAAGAGATTAGCTGAGGAGAGAGCGAGGCATAAGGAGGCCATCAAATTGGTTAATCACGCAGCTTCCAATAGTTTGCAAGGTGGTTTGGTCCCAATTTTCGAAACTTTAAGTAGTTTCACTTCAGAGGCTCTGAAAGTTCACGAGCAAGTCAGACTTGAAGATGCCAGAGGCTCATAGCGAAGTAAGACTATTTATACAAGTTGGAAGCGCGATGTGTGAAGTAGCTAGAGCCCTTTTGTATATGTACAGTCGTTCATTGAGATCGCATACACTTAGAAATGGTAGGTTAGCAGAGAAGGCGAAGCGAACTATATGAAACTTTAGGCATGACAGAGATCTTTGAGAAGGAGTTTAGAAAAAAGAAAAAGAAAAAGGGGGTTATTAGATTTGCCTTCAAAAGGTTGATAGACAGAGTACAGTTGATCCCTTGGTTCGGCGGATTTACTCCATCACTTATCTCACCACCGCACAAAGATTGACGTGAGGACCGTACTACACGGGGTTCCGTTCTGAGTGTGTGGTCCGACATGTGACGGTCCACGGCTGAAGCCAAGAATTTCTCCTTGGCTTGATATCTGGTTCTGCACAACCCCTTTTAACAGATGGCAAATTTGTACAGAAATTCATTTATTGGATTTGATTGGTTTTTAGGTGGTGGAAATATTTGCCTGTTGCAATGTGTGGGATGTCAACTTATTAGAGAAATTGAAAATTTTTGAATGAGCTATTCCATTACCAAAATGGTTTGTCTTTTCATGTATTGTCCATTCTTGGTTGTTATCATTAATTCAAATGGTTAGAATTGATGTATGTGGGGCCAACATCGTCAGAAGTTTCTCACGCGAGCATGAACAACTGACCTTAACAAAGTAATGCAGGATGCAACAAAGTAATGCAGGATGCGGTGGGAAGGAAGCATCTCCAGCCTCTGTCCGGCCGATCATTCCGCTGGCATCTTTCATTCACGCCTCCGTTTGACTGTAAAGCTGATAATTTTCCTCTAGGCAGTAATTTTCCTCTCGGCCTAGCTGCTGTTGAAGACTTTTCATACAGGGAAAATAAGAAGAGAACAATAGAAAAGTGTAGCAGCATGCAGTGATGCGTTTGAATGGAAAAGCGTCAAAACATCCTACGTTTTCTTCTAATATGTATACGTAAAATCAAATCAAAACAAGCTAAACTAACTCAAATAACTCAAAATAAGCATTAAGGGGTTGTTTGGATGAAAATCTAACTAAATTGACTCAAAACATGAAAAAGGGGTTTGTTTGGACGAAAATTGATTGAAAACTAGTAAGTTGCAGAACTAAGTAAAGGTTGCACGAAATTAAGGTGACTTAAGGGGTGAAAGGCTAGCTAGAGGATTCTTATCCACACATGAACCATATGCATACAAATGGATTTCCAGTTATTATTCCTATAAACCATGAATGACAATGCCCCAAATTAATCGTGAACAACACTGATTAACTTTCAGATTTTCCTAATTTCATTGAATTGGACTCAACGATGCAATCAAATTATTCTTATCAAGTTCCCTATATGAACAACATGATAGAGATACATATCAAAGATCGTTAAGTTCTATGAAAATCATAAGCATTGACATGACATTCGTAACTATGAACTGCATGATACTCCTGCCAGGAATTTACTTAACGCAATCATGACTAGTGACTTTTACTACTTGTGAATATAAGTTCATAACGATTAGGTGAAATTCCCTTATATTTTAGCATCAAATTCATACAAACTAAGTGGGCCCCCTTAATCAACACACAAGAATAAGTTATCAATCAAACAAATAAGTAAATTGCATTCACGATTTATGAAACAATAACTGGATGTAATCAATTCATATCACATATATGTTCATGGCTTTGAATTCACCACTAGCTAAAACGAAATTAGTTTCACATGTTCATCATAATTGAAAACCAAATTAAAATAAACATTGAACTAAAACTAAGTATAGAATACACCTAAAAACGCTCCAGCAATCCAAAGGTCTTGAATGGCAGGCACGGCTCCAAGCTCTCCTTCCTTGCTTGCAAAGCTACGACACACTTCTATTTATTTCTCTATATTTTTCTCTCTAAAATCCCCCTTTATGCGGCAGATGTGTGGTGTATTTATAGGGCTAGGGGGCACGGAAAAGGTTGTCAAGGATAAGGATTACACAGCACAAACCAAGAAGGAAAAGGACTAAGGTGCTGCGGCAGATTCCTAGGGGAAAGGGTTAGCTTGTGCTGCACAAATCTAGGGCAGAGGATAGGGCTTCTAGAACTAGATATTTATATGATTTAATGTGAAATTGATTCCCCCTTACAGCTGGAATTAAGGTAGGATAAGATAAGATAAGGTTAGTTTGGATAAGGTTTAGATAAAACAGGACTCGATAAGGTCTCCTTATTTTTAGCTGATTCCAAGCCTTAATCCTGATTCCTTGCACATTCCTAGCACCTTGTAAGCACCAAAAACGTCCAATCTTTGTGCTCCATACGCAAGCTATCCATTCCCGCCCAAAACTGCTCCAAATTGCTCCAAAATGCCATTTCTTGTCACCTTTGCCAATTGGACCTACAAATACACGAAAATAGCTTAAATTACTATAATAAATAGAAACTAACTAAATAAATGCAAAGAAACAAGCTAATAAAATCGCATAAATATGCTCCTATCAATGCTTGTGATATTGTACCGCTTATTTTGATGCCAAGTGCTAAGTGTTTGCATTATTGTTTATGAATGCTTGGCTATGTTTGAATGAATCCTTGTTTGGATATGACCCATGGCTTGGGCATAGTTGAATGAATATGCTTGAGGATATTTGTGTATTTGTTTAGTCATGTTGACAGGATACTTAGCTTTTATTTCATTTGAAAGGATGCATGTTGAAGCTCTAACTATAGTATGTGGTGCCATGTAAGTTGAGGCTCCTACTATAAATTTTTACATACATGACACAATTTATGGGTAATGTTAAAGTTTAATGACGCAAGGGTTTGGTGTCATCTTGGGTGTCATTAAAGATATTTTTTATGATGTTGAAAGGTGATGTGGTAGAAACTAACACAAATTAAACCCTGTAAATTATGCAATCGTAGTACGAGTAAGTAGGGATCGTTCTATTCGGGGATTAGAAGGGATGCTAATCAACACAAATTAAACTTATAAAATTGAAAATTAAGTTAAACTAACATCAAAACAATGATTGGTGGGATTTTGGATGAATTTAATTAAAACAAAAGTAAAGGGCAACAAGTAAATTAAGTTGTGAATGAAATATGGATGAAAGGATAGCCAAAAGATTCTTCTCCATACATGAAACATATGCATACAAATCGATTTCCAGTTATTCTTCTTATAAACCATGAATGACAATGCCCCAAATTAACTGTGAACAACACTAATTAATTCTCAGATTTTCCTAAGTTCATTGAATTGGACTCAGCGATGCAATAAGTTCCCTAACTATGAAAAGCATGATAGAGATACATCTAAAAAATCATTAAGTTCTATAAAAATCATAAGCATTGACAAAGCCTTCGTAACTATGAAAAGCATGATACTCCTGCTAAGAATTTACTTAACTCAATTATGACTAGTGACTTTTACTACTTACAAATATAAGTTCATAACGATTAGGTGAAATTCCCTTATATTCTAGCATCAAATCCCTGCATGCATACTAAGTACGCATCCTTAATAAACATACAAGAATAAGTTCTCTATAAAGCAGATAAGTAAATCACATTCATGTTTTATGAAACAATAACTGGATGTAATCAATTTATATAAAACATATGATCATGGCTTTGAATTCACCTCTAGCTAAAAGGAAACTTAGTTACACATGTTCATCATAACTGAAAAACAATCTAAAATAAACATTGAAACTTAAAACAAAGATAGAAAAAACTTTGAAAATTCCAACAACTTTAATGGATGAATGGTAGGCACGGCACACCCTAAAATTTGCAGGAATTTCATATATATATAGGGAGGGAACGGCTGAATCCAAAGAGGAAGGGGTTTTGGCATTTTGAATTATTTTAGGACTCTAAGAATCCAGTAGAAAGTGTTGGAATGTGATTAGGATTCCTCCTTGCAGTTGGAGATAAGATAAGGTTGGATAAGATAATGTTCCTCCCTAACTATGATTCCTCTTTCTTGTGTAATTCCTTGTCTTCCAAACCTCAACTTTAATTTGGTATTAAGAAGTTAATGGAAAGTTCTCTATTAAGTCTGCTTACCACGTTGCAAGTGATTGGATCTCTGTGGCCTCCAAAAATACGGGTGAATTTTTAGAAACTATGTAGGGACATTGTCCTTAAGAAGGTCAACCTCACTGTGAAACACATCCTATGTGATCTACTTTGCACCATGTATAGCCACTACGAAAAGTCTACGATCCAACTGCTCCATGACTACCACATTGCCAGGTGTGCATGGCTTTTATCCTCCTAGGAAATTTCATTGCTTATTGTCTTTGCCGAACTTCCATTCATGGGCTTTGGAATTTGTGACCTCTCTTCCCCCTAACAATTTCGAATTTTCAGTCATTTGTTGGGGTATTTGGAACTGCAGAAATTCAATGTTGTGGAATGGGAAATGCGATCCTCCCAACATCACTGTCTCCTAGGCTATGTCGTGGTGGCAAGACTTTGTGAAATGCAATACTGACCTATCCTGTTCTGGATCCAATGCCCATCCTCCCCCAAAATGGTATTTCATTCCCCGGGGCGTCTGAAATTCAAGTTTGATGGTGCGTGGTGATAAGTGTAGGCATGTATCATTAGCAAAATAGAGTGTGTGCCATGTCAACTTAATATAGTTGAGAATTGTTGGTAGTTAGTTGAGTTGATAAAAGTAAGTTAGATGGTTAGAGGTGAGCTGTCAAAATGTAAAATGCTACATATAGCATATCTTGTAAACCTTTACTTTTCAATAAAACCAATCTGAAAGGTCTCAACCATTTCCTCCACTCTCTCTTTCTCACATCTTCTCTCTGTCTTTCTTTCTTTGTAAACCTTCGTACATAGTTCTTCATTTCTTCATCTAATTCATAGTAGTTAATATGGTATCAAGAGCCAGCGATTCTACTGTGGGCTTGGTTCTCTAGAGTTCATCGAAGTGTTTGGGTTTCTGGAATTTGAGTCGGTGTATTTCCGTTGCTGTACTGGAATTTTTTTTTTTTTTTTGGCGAATTAGGTTATATGTTTCGATTTCTTGCAAAATGTATCATTTTTTTTTTTTTATGTTGTGAAGTAGTAGATTGGTTTGTTTGCAGCACGAAGCCAATACTGTTTGTTTGCAGCACTGAAGCCATTTTAAGATTGGTTTAGTTGATTGAAATTGGTGGGCATGAAGCTATTTTTGTGAATTTCTTTGAAGAATTGTGAAATTTGAGGGCATGAAGCCATTTCTGTGAATTTCTAAGAAGAGTCATTGAATTTCTGTGAACATTGTTAGTTGAAATTTGAGGCATTTCTTGCTATTCTATGCTTCTTGAAGTATCGAGAAGATAATGGTTTCTTGATAGAACTATAAATCTAGCAAATAGTAATGGCATCTTCATCTGTAAAAATTGAAGGGCTTTTGGGAATGTTGACAATTAAGTTGAATGACAAGATTTTTTTCGAAATGGGTGTTTCAGTTCAAATCTGTTCTAAAATGATATAATTTGTTTGATCACTTTGATGGGTTGCTTCAATGTCCAGCAAAACTTGTGGTTAGCACTGATCGTGGTATTA